GGAGTTTTGGAAACCAATGTGATTCAACCATTCAAAAAATCTTGGAATTTATCATTTCAAGCAAGCATCTTGACCGAAATTCATGTTAAAGTATGCTACAAATTTACTTCACTCACTAAAGAGATGATCGACCACAGAAATTGAGGAGGTGGTGGACCACCTGTGCCATGTAGGCATTGAGGTAGAGGCCCAACTTCCAATACGGTAAACCAGTAATGGCATCGCAAGGACAACATGTCTACTAAACATACTAAATCGAGTAAAGATATACAACCTAAAAATTTGTTGAAGTCTGTTTATCTTTGAACTTGAGAGACTATAGATGCATACTCAAATTATATAAGTATGCTTTCAATGTTGCGGTAGTTGAAGGTAAGATTATATGATTTTTTATGCAGTCGTATGTTTTGTAAGTGTCATGTCCAAGTCAAATCGATTTTGGATGTAAACACTTTTAATATGATTGATGCATTATATATATGGTAGATCTATTATTTAATTAAATTATTATTCAGATAAATTAAATTAATAAAATCCGTAGATTTAAATTTTGGCAACTTCTTAATCACAAGAAATTGTAATTGTAAGGCGCAAGTTACAAATGAATGAACTTAAATTATCTCTGGTCGTAAGTAATAACGAGATAAAGATATAGTTATTACAGATAGACTAGCACGTGTGACATTTTTCACTTATGAAATGAGTAAGAAAGTAACCGATCTCACAAACCAAGATAAGAGAACATGGACATGAACAGAGCTACCTGCTATGAACTCAGCCTAAATTGATATTGTGTGTGAGACAACTAAAGTTTTGCTAAAAGGACTTAATTCAAGGCTTAGTTTATCATGTTTCCAACAAATGAAAATTGATATCACTAAGTGATGTTAGTCTAAAAGACACCTACTCTTATTACACAATCTAATTTTGCCACTATATATATTTATATTGTTGTAACATAAAAGTTTTAAACATTCAAAATTAAAGTTAATTTTTTAATATTGCAATTTATTGTTTTAATTTCTGCTTTAATACAAAATTCTAACTAATAATTTTTGGAGTGCAACTTATATCTTAATTGAATTAATAATCATTGTTGAGGGGTTGATTTTTACACTATAAAAGAAAGGTGATATTTTAGTGTTAACCATAACTTAGCCCCAGTTTGGTCCCTATTATTTGAAATTTTAATGGTTAGAATAATATTTTTTTTTTGAAAAATGTGTGGTTAAAAAAGAAGAATTTTTTTTGAGATTACGTATAATATTATTTTATTGGAGAATGTGTGATTGATAAGAAGAGAGAGAAAAATGAATTATAATTTTAATGAGGGTCAAACATGGCTTAAAAAACATAAATTGAAAAATATTCCATATACATTTCATATTATATTTTTATCGTTTTGACAACTCGATAATAGACTTATTCTTTCTTTTTTTGTGGACGTTCTCACATAGAAGGAGAAACGGACTCTAAGCTATAAGAGTTTTAACTTGTAACTATAGTGTCGAAAGTATCCGCACGAAGGGAATGGCACACAACTTTGGGACAACGTTTTTGACGTGATTATTTAAGACTGCTTTCTGAATTCTAATATATTTCTTTCTTTTATTTTATTGTTGAATTATATATACACAAATCACATTTTCCCCACCACCGTCTTATCCAATTCAAAACTCCTCTGTTTATGTAGAAATATTACAAATGGGGAGTTGGGTTTGACAGATGGAGTTATGAGTTCGGTCTGGACATGGAAATTTGGTGCTCTTTTTTTTGGTATTATTCTTGTTGACACACTAAAAGTGCAGTCCAAATTAAATAACCCAAAGAGTGAGGCCCAATTGGGAAGTCCAGGATAAAGATCCAAATAAGATTATTGGTGAATGCCGAGGAAGCCCACGAATACAGTAACATCATCGCTCAAACTTGCAAGACTTCCAGAATTTGAGCGAATGAAGTGCACTACGGTTGCCCAGAGCGATAACCTCGTTCTCACCCAAACCTTCGAGTCGTCCAGAATCTTAACACATGAGATATTATGGTTATCCAGAATAACAGTTATTGAAACAGTTATCGAGCAAATTATCACATTCCACGATTTAAAGAGCCCATTTGAAGACGGTTGAACGACAAAGAGTAATGATATCAGTTAGAGATAGCAGTTCCACGACAAGTTAGCCACCATGAAGAAAGTGGATAGTTAGAAAGCTATCAAACAGTTTCCAAACGGTTTGTCACGAAGAAATCACCATGGGAATATTAAAGGAAGAAAAAACATAGAGAAAAGGCCCCCGAATCAAACACTCTCAAACAGAGAATATGTAATTTCAATTTCTTATATTAACTTTAATTATCCCTTTTCAGTATCCTTGTTCTTGCGCCCCTTGGAGACATTCTGTTTATTTTCAATTGTAACTCTCATCAATAAAGCACCCCCTTTTGGGACTTTGTCTCAAAATGTTTGTTCCTTACACAATTGTTTGAATTTCTATTTTTAATTGTTAGCGAGAACCCGC